TTCCTTATTGGGTTCATATATGGGGTCAGGTTTTTCAATCTGGTGTCCGTAGACTTGAACCAGACCTAGACGCCTAAGTCTTTAAATACCGAGTTTATTGGTGAAACGTATAGTTTCTATGAACCAATAATCTACTTTGGTAAGTCAGTGTCTTAAGGGATCATTTTTCACCCCCACCTTTCTCGTCGTTAACGCCGTTGTGCGCCTCTAGGCCGTGCGCGTGCTTGGTTTTCTTGAGTGCTCTAGAAGCGTTGTCAATGCTTCATGGAGGCGGCCCCACCTCTCACTCATATAGGTGATCTCATCAAGTGTGTCCCGCACTTAACACACCACCCGTAAGGTCTATGACAATCATTAAGAGATTTAGCTCCACCTCACAAAGAAATGCAGTCTAGCCTTCCACACCATAGAAATGGACACTTTACAAGGCTAGCAGAACAAATAGAAGACTTGTTATTACCCATTTGAACTTGCTTCATGGGATCTCCAATCACACAAGTTGGGTTCTCATCCCTATTTGTTGTCAAAGTGACATTAGTCCATTTCCCTCGATGTTTAAATTAATCTTTTAACGTTCTAGGGATTCTGTCAAAGGAGTAGCTAATTCCTTCACAAAATTAATGGAGTAATTCCATTCTTCAAACATCATTGCACCACTTTTAAGGATGAATGGATATTCACTATATTATCTCATGTGAGTCGACTCATATTACGTCGTTGTATCCCGGCAATACAACGGATAACTCTCAACAAAATATACATCGATGTGACACTTGTGTTCATCGGATAATTTAACTAATACGTTATATCCTAACGGATAATTCTCAATGAAATATATATCATCATTGTATCATTATAGTGCAATGGATAATTCTCATATATAACATCGTTGTACGTTTATAGTACAACAGATATTTCTCAATTAAACATATCATCGTTGTATCAATATATTACAACGGATAATCTGTACCATAATTAATGATACCTCTCGAATATCTCAGTAACTTAAGGTATCCCAACCATCACTTTTGGATTTCATATATTGGCTCAATCTTCAATTCCAGCATTTTAAAATTATGAAATGTCACACACATTTAATTGTAACAGACTCACATTTTGGTTTTTATTTATATCAAAGTCATAAGGGATATTCACATTCTAACATTGAAATGTAAAACTTCTTAAGAAGTTTTTCAATATGATGATAGTAAAATACCAACATCCATCCTTGTGACTTTAATACTCAAGATTACTTTTATGATATTTATATATCAACTCAATATAGCTGAAATAAACATAAAAAAAATTCCAGTAACAAATAATCACCAATGCACCACTTAATGTATACACATTTTTTCAATTTTTTTTATCAAATTAATCTCAAAGATATTATAGTTTAAAGTATTGCATACTAGCAGATTAATTCTTCAATTTAAGGAAAACGTATATATGCTCCACTATTTCATCTTATATAAAAGCATTCAAAAGTTACAAAACTCATTTTTACTCAATGAGATAGGTAGTAAAAATTTAGCTAAGCACCCTCACAATTTTAATTATTCCAAACCAGGTGCATAACTTTTCTAAAATTCAATAATATCTATTTTATGAAGATAATTTCTAGCTCAATTTTTATTTGCACACCAAGATGTTACCATAGCTCACCTTTAAATTTAAAGAATATATTAAAATTTAGTGTATATATAAAAAAATCATTATAATGTATATAACATCATCATACCATTATAGTATGTATGAAGGATAACACTCAAATATAACATCGTCGTATCACTCTAGTACAACGGATAATTCTCGATAAAATGTGTCATCGTTATACTCATTTAGTACAACGGAAAGCTTAATAGAATATATATGACATCATTGTGTCAATAATACAATGGATAATTCTCAATAAATTATTCCATCATTGTATTTCGTTAATACAATGGTTGTGTAGCTCACCAAATACATTTTTGTGTTTTTGAGTTCATCACAATCTTCCGACAATTTTGCCGGATCTCACATAGTGTGTTAAGTTTAATAAATTCACACTTTGAGCATCAAGATAAATTTCTACAAAATGAACAATATCATACTACAAAATAATTCCTAAATCACACTCAATATATCTCCACACTCAATTAATAATAAAAAGTGACACATATTATTTGCATCCACAATTTTTGATTTCACCACAAATCAATTAGTACCCAGTATAATATACGACGCATCTAAAAGCACACCGCACACATGCACAACAATTATTGTACCTCAAATACCCCCACATTTTGAGTATATATATAATAGGTGCAAAAACAATTACTAACAACCATAAGGTCATAAAAATTATCAACATTTTTCGAGAGGAACAACATATAGTTAACATGATAAGGACTTAGCATGCGATCGAATATCAGGATAATTATGCACACTTAGAATAAGCACAATTTAATATTCATCAAAACATATGCCACTAGTCAATTTGAAAAAGTAAACGCACCAATTTATCATCACCGCCAATAAGGTTTATATTTTATTTTGGTGGATTGCTTTTCCCAAAACTTTCATTATCTAGAAAATGACTTTTGAACAAAAGCTATAAGAAACATACCGTAATTTGACCATCATTGGGAGCTAGAATTTGCTTGTCCCACGGGGAGTTTCGGGCACGTTGACTATTCCGTAGGTATAAATTTGTTCGCCTTAATTCCTTAGATTGTAGGCTCTATCTTTCCCAAATCAACGTGTTGACCGTGTTGCTCCTAAGTTGACCTTGTTGATCATCTAGCTCCGAGAATTGACCTGCAGAATGATCACTAAAAAGAACTAAAAGTATATTAGTGGCTCGAGACGCGTCAGACGCTGTCCTAAGGAATTATTTCCGGCGTACGGAAATTTCCCCCAAGATATAACGAGCCCTTCGGTACAAGACCGGTAACAGAACTAACGAGAAGAAAATTAGTATATGAACCCAATAATAAAGGTAAAATCCGGTTTTATAAAGCATGGGTTATCAAAAGAAAATAAACTACTAAAAGCCATCATAACTCATTTGCTCTCAACTACAATATACTTCGTATATGTTTAGATATATAAGTAGTACGTAAATTGCATGAACACTCTCCAAAAGGTAATCTAGTAGTAAGCTCATATATCAACATTGCCCACATACCTTCATGTACGTACATCACATATATATATGTATTAACATGAGGTAAATATAATTTAGTAACATTAATGCTTCACTCCACAATAATGTAACGTTTATAGTAATAATAGTATTAAATAATACTTAATGTTTTGTCAAAAGTGTAACGTTTCATGAGTTTAAAAATTGGACGTGACTATTTAGTTGTAGAAAAGTAATTTAAACAATATTTTGTGTCATTATAAAATTTCCCATAAAATAAGTAAAATTTTATTCATTTGATATACACTCAATTTTCCAACAGTACCAATATATGAAAACTTCACAAAACTAAAGATTTGTTTGAAATTAAATGAAAAATATGGGACATAACATTTACTCAAGAAAAATTATAAGTATGATGATAGATGTAGTGAATATTTCTCAATTCATAAATTCGTAGAAGTTTATTAATATAATAATACCAACAGCAATAAAAATGGTTATTTTTGTTAATTTTTACGGAGTAATGATAGTGTTGGTCTAAAAATGTTATGGAAGCATAATATGTAGTACGTAGTATAACAATAGTGAAACAAGGTCTAAAAATGATAGTGTTGGTCTAAAAATGTTATGGAAGCATAATATGTAGTACCTAGTAATAAACAATAGTGTTGGTTGGGTAATGCATTTGGGGTTAAGTTCAAAATTCTTTGATGACCTTATCTTTTAGTAAAGAAAAATGTTAAATATGTCGGCTTTCTCTATTTCGAATTTGCAGCGATTGATATCATGTCCATGTTATGGCAGGTCGCCGGTCAAGGGCAATCCAAAAAAATCTTAAAGCGGAGAACTATCACACATTGGTCTATTCTATCTAATGTGTTTAGATTATTATTTTATCTGGAAATAGATTATTCAATGGTAGTTTCAAACAATTAATATTTATGTATAAGTGTAGTTGTGACCTCCTTAAGACAATTTCATAAATAAAGACACAGTTTGAATCAGAAACAAGTCATTCTTGCGCCGTTTCTAACTGTGTATTAGATTTTTCATTAGTTTTCATACTATAAAATCGTCATGATTTCAGTTATGAATTGAACTAGGATCATGTCGAACGCTACACATCATGTCACAAAATTTGTTGGTAATTGTCTGAAATATAATACTACTATATTAAAAATAAAGTATAATTCGAGTTTGTTATTTCATCCTTGTATACAATTTTATTTAATAATATGAATTGTTAAGCTTTACGCTTAGTATCTGTACATGCGAAGAAAGAAAACTGATAAGCTTTACGCTTAGTAAGTCACTATGGCTCCACAAAAATATCTAGAAGTCTAGGCCAATTTATCAATAAAAATCACATAGTTCAACTTACTCAACTTTTGCTGTTGACTTATAACTAAAGAATAGTTTGTGGTGCCAAACGGTCTATACTCTTTATTTCCACCAATACTTCTATTACTCAAAGATCATACTAGTTCCCAACATGAGTCTGTTGGTCTGACACTAATTTTTCGCGAATTGACACGTTTTTTCATGTAAGAATATTTATTCAGAGTAAAAGTCTTCAATTTATTAAGTTCATCCCACATCTTAGAAGTCATTTTTTATCTTTGACCTTTAACTTTAGACAAACACTATTCACACTTAGTTAAAATATATTCAAGTGCTAAAATTAAAATCTCATGATTGAAACATTCTTTTTACATCTTTCACTTATTTTTCCAAAATGGTTCTGAAACAAAAACAAAAGAAATAGTGTTCTAAATTTATTTATTTTAACATCAGAGTCTCTGACTTTTTAAAATATTAATAACCCTAAACAATTGATAAAAATTGATGTATAATAATAAAAATAAGACTTTAAGCAAAAACCTTTACAAGATGAATATATTGATGGTGGATGGATTGCAGTAATAATTGAATTGACAAAGTGAATACGTATAAAATAGTGAGAAATTTGATTTATTTACGGAAATGGGTTGTTGTTTAATTTTTTTTTTATCATCAAAACATGTCTTTATTTGTCACGCCCCAGACCGCAATCCAAGCGCGTGTACAACCGCCGTATAACTAAGTGACGTCACCCACGGGTCGACCTCACTTAATTACACAAGGCGTTCGAGAAAACAATCCATCCATACTCAGTAGTAAACATACATAACAACATCACATTAAACCAATGAATAGCGGAAATATTCAACGGTAAGTCATGGGCCACAACCGGCCGACAACATGGGCATGCAAGCCCCAAAAATAGTTTGTAGTAAAACAAATATCCATGAGCAAGTGTTCGGTAGTTTGAAAGAAAATAAGGAAGCACGAACCACGTCTCCCTGATTTGATATCACCCGTGAGAAGGTGCAAGTAGCAAGCTCTAGCTTCAACCTGAAAATGGTGGGGCCCCCCGAAGGGGTCAGTACAAGTACCGAGCGAGTAGCAGGCTAAATATAGAATAACTAGCGTTTCAAGTATAAGACCCAAACATAGGGTGATACTTAAATAAATAATCTTTCCCCCAAGTTATGAAATACTTATTAGTATATATATACTTGGAAAATATCCGATCCGTAGATCACCATTTTATTCGGGAAAATAGTAATAGTCAATATTCTTGACTAAAAACCCCAACCCACCCATATACCTATGAGTGTATAGGACTCCTCCTTGTCCCTACTTGTATATCACAATCTATGAGTTTTAGGATCATAATCCTTGGATACTCCACCGGTTTGTGAGTGTTAAGGACTCATAAGTCCTAGGGTCCTCCACCAAGTTTGAGTGTTAAGTACTTTTAAGTACTAGGGTCCTCCACCAAGTTTGAGTGTTAAGGACTTTTAAGTCCTAGGGTCCTCCACCAAGTTTTGAGTGTTAAGTACTTTTAAGTACTAGGGTCCTCCACCAAGTTTTGAGTGTTAAGTACTTTTAAGTACTAGGGTCCTCCACCAAGTTTGAGTGTTAAGGACTTTAAGTCCTAGGGTCCTCCACCAAGTTTTGAGTGTTAAGTACTTTTTAAGTACTAGGGTCCTCCACCAAGTTTGAGTGTTAAGTACTTTTTAAGTACTAGGGTCCTCCACCAAGTTTTCCTATGATCAACCTCCTATCAACCTAGATAGAGTCTATATCATCCTTAGTTACTCATAACTAATCCAATACATAAATCTTATGTATCACAATCCATGCAAAGCCATGCATTTAAATAAATGTATAATTAACTAACATCAACCGATATTAATTAATCCATCATCCATCGGTCAACGTTGTCGTTGACCGCCAATTCAAGCCTTGTTCACATCAACTTAATCATCATATAATTAAGTCAATAATACTCATTTGAGCTTCTTTTACACTTCAAGCTAATGTGCATTTTATATAATCTCTCATATCATATTTCATGCATAATCAATTAATTCTTTTCATACAACTTGATAATGTTGGCTAATCACATGTTTAATTATCTTTTAAACATCATTATGAAAACATATAACATTTATTTAGGTAATCTCATAATTAACCCAAAAGTTATAAGATATTAAGCCGTCCACTCACCTTGAACTAGCGTTATGAAGTTCTACCCCTCTTGGTTGAACTCCGGTGAAACTCCGGCGACTTTCGGTCAACTCCGGCGACAACTCCGGCGACTTTTCCAACTTTGTGAAATCACTTGAAATACCTTTCACAAGTTCCTAACAAGGTTTTATAATCATAAAACCCATATTAATACAAATAACCTCAAAAAGGTTATTTTCCGGTGAACCGGTCGTTTTGGCTTCTAAGACCGTTCTTGGACATGGAATCACTTCCCAACCCATAAATCCATACTTATAACATGTAGAACCCTCTTAAGGATTCTTCACATGATATATATCTCATATGGTAGGAGAAAAATGAAGGAAAAGTTATAATGAGGTCATTACCTTAATTTACACACTTTTCCTAGCCTTTTTCCTTCTTTAATCCCACTCTTTGGACCTCTCTTGCTTGAGCTCGAGTTGCAGCAATGGAGAAAGGTTGGAGAGCTTCTTCTTCCTCCTCCTTTGGTAGCTAGGCCGAAATAATGCATAGGGGAGAGGTTGGGGTGTCCTTTTTGTCTCCTTTGGCAAATGAGTGAGGTCAAAGGGCCCCCTTGCACCTTCCTCCACTCAATCCTTTGTCAACCTAGGCCCTTCCTTGTTGTTACAGCACAAAAAAACGTGGGGTGGCCCCCACTCATGTGGGAGGTCATCCCTTTGTGTCCCGGTGTGTACAATCGGTCCCGAAAGTTGTATTTTTCGGACTGTTTTAATCATAATTTATTTTATCGGGTAAAATAAAATATATTATGTGTTCCCCATCATAACTCCCCTTTGAAATAATATATATTCCAAAACTTTAATTTGGAAGTCTCCGAAATTCATTTTCGGGCTGTTATCTGTTTAATTGTCGGTACCGGTAATTGGGCTTCTTTTGACCAATCGGTCAACCCCAGGCCTTCCCATGGCCAAATAAGATGTCCACCACCATATAAATATTATTTCGACCCATAATGATAATTTATGTGATCTCGGGGATATCGGGCGGCCCCCGCTCCCGGTGTGGGTCCCACGTGCAGTTTACTATTCACGCGAAAGAAATAATAAAAATTTACAACTTCGTAAATTCATCAATCCTTTAATAAGGTTCAATACATTATTTACATAAAAGTAAATATATTTGGGGACGGTGTTACAAGTTCACCCCCCCTTATTTGGGATTTCGTCCCCGAAATCCAAGTATCTAATCGAAAAGAAATGGGTATTGCTCCCTCATTGAGACCTCGGTCTCCCAAGTTTCTTCTTCGACTCGATCACTCCTCCAAAGAACCTTTACCATAGGAATCTCCTTATTCCTAAGCTTCTTCACTTGTTGACCAACAATCTTCACTGGTACCACCGCATATTGCAAGTCCTCACGGATCTCTACCGGTGGTTTCTCAAGAATATGAGATGGGTCTCGTATGTACTTCTTGAGCATTGATACATGAAACACGTCATGTATCTTCTCAAGTTCAGGCGTCAACTTGAGTCGGTAAGCCACGGCCCCGATCCTTTCAAGGATCACAAACGGACCTATGTATCGGGGGTTAAGCTTCCCCCTCGATACGAATCGGATGATGCCCTTCCAAGGAGAAATCCTTAGGAAGACCTCATCACCGACTTCGAACTCCAACGGTCTCCGCCGTTTATCAGCATAACTCTTCTGTCGGTCCTGAGCAGCCTTCAATCTATCCCGAATGATCCTTACCTTGGCCTTGGTGATCTCAACCAGCTCTATTCCTTCGAGTTTGGCCTCGCCAACCTCGTCCCAACACAACGGTGTCCTGCATTTCCTCCCATACAATGCCTCATATGGAGGCATGCCAATACTTGCTTGATAACTGTTGTTATAAGCAAACTCCACTAGGGCCAAATGTTTGTCCCAACTTCCTTGGAACTCCAGCGCACATGCCCTAAGCATGTCTTCCAAAATCTGTATCACCCGTTCGGACTGTCCATCCGTCTGTGGGTGAAAAGCTGTGCTAAACTTCAGTTTAGTACCCAACGATGCTTGAAACTTTGGCCAAAATCGGGATGTGAATCGTGGATCCCTATCCGAGACAATGGATATTGGGACTCCATGTAATCTCACAATCTCCTCCGTGTATAGCTTGGCCAACCTTTCAAGAGGATAAGTAATGTTGATAGGCAAAAAGTGTGCACTCTTGGTGAGCCTATCAACCACTACCCAAACTGCATCATAGTTGTTCACCGTTCGTGGTAGCCCCACCACGAAGTCCATGGTCACGTGCTCCCACTTCCACTCTGGGATGGTGAGTGGTTGTAAGAGCCCTGCTGGGTGCTGATGCTCTGCCTTAACTTGCTGGCAAGTAAGGCATCGACTCACAAACTCTGCAATATCCTTTTTCATGCCTGACCACCAGTAACTTTCCTTCAGATCTCGGTACATCTTAGTACCCCCTGGATGCATGGCATATGCTGAAGAATGAGCCTCCTCAAGTATAGCTCTCTGGAGCTCCTCATTCTTTGGTATGCACACACGATCCTTAAATAGTAAAAGACCGTCATCACGTACCCGAAAATTCTCGACGGGCCCCTCAAGGATCCGTTCGCGGATTTTCTGACATTCCTCATCAATGGCCTGACTTCGACTAATCTCGCCCAATAGGGTGGGCCTAACCTCGAATCGAGCAATGAGAGCCCCGCACGTGGACACCTCCACGCGCGCCCTCAATGCCTGTAGGCATGTGAGTAGCGTCCCCGACGTACTCTTTCTGCTCAGTGCGTCGGCCACGACGTTGGCCTTTCCTGGATGGTAATCGATGATCAAGTCATAGTCCTTGATCAACTCCATCCATCTCCTCTGTCTCATATTCAACTCTTTCTGAGTGAATACGTACTTCAAGCTCTTATGGTCTGTAAAAATGTGACATGTCTCCCCGTAGAGATAATGCCTCCAGATTTTCAGTGCAAACACTACCGCCCCCAATTCTAGGTCATGGGTAGGGTAGTTCACCTCGTGCTTTCTCAATTGCCTTGAAGCATAGGCAATCACTTTACCGTTTTGCATCAGTACACATCCAAGCCCTTGGATGCTAGCATCACTGTATATATCATACCCTATCCCTTGTATGGGTAGGGCAAGGACTGGTGCTTCGGTAAGTCGTTTCTTCAGTTCAAGGAACCCTTTCTCACACTTGTCGTCCCATATGAACTTGGCCCCTTTCTTTGTGAGCTTCGTTAATGGAGACGCCAATACAGAAAATTTTTCAACAAATTTACGATAGTATCCTGCTAAGCCAAGGAAACTACGTATCTCTTTCACATTCTTGGGTCTCTCCCAATCCATGATAGCCTTTATCTTGGCGTTATCCACAGCAACGCCCGAACCGGATATGACGTGACCAAGGAACCCAATCTCCTTAAGCCAAAATTCGCATTTAGAGAACTTGGCAAAGAGCTGCTTTTCCCTTAGCCGGTCAAGTATAAGCCTCAAATGATGTTCGTGCTCCTCCTCGCTCTTGGAATATATCAAGATATCATCAATGAATACTATCACAAATTGATCTAAGTATTCACTAAACACACGGTTCATCAAGTCCATGAATGCTGCCGGTGCGTTGGTTAAACCAAATGACATCACAAGGAACTCGTAATGACCATACCTAGTGCGGAATGCACTCTTAGGTATGTCGCTCTCCTTGATCTTCAACTGATGATACCCCGACCTCAAATCAATCTTCGAGAACACTATTGCCCCCCGAAGTTGATCAAACAAGTCATCAATCCTCGGTAAGGGATACCTGTTCTTGATTGTGACCTTGTTCAACTGTCGGTAGTCAATACACATTCTTAGTGTACCATCCTTCTTCTTCACGAAGAGTACGGGTGCCCCCCACGGTGAATGACTGGGTCTGATGAACCCGTTGTCCAGTAATTCTTGTAGTTGGACCTTCAACTCTTGGAGTTCGGCCGGTGCCATTCGATAAGGGGGAATCGAAATGGGTTTGGTTCCCGGCTCCACTTCGATTACAAACTCTATCTCTCTATCGGGTGGGAGCCCCGGTAGGTCTTTGGGAAAGACATCCGGGTATTTGCACACGACCCGTACATCTTTGATGTCGACTTCCTTCTTGGTATCGTCCACCACGTAGGCAAGGTATGCGTGGCATCCCTTCCTCATCATCTTCCGTGCTCTCATCACGGATATTATACAAGCATTAGATTTCCCCCGATCTCCCTCGAAACACAGTGTGTTTCCTTGATCATCCTCGAGCTCTAACACCTTGGTGTAGCAATCTACTCGAGCATGATGTTTCTCGAGCCAATCCATTCCTAGGATTGCATCGAACTCCAACATGCTTAGAGGTACGAAATCACAAGTCAAAGGTTGACCCGTCACTTCTACCTCGCACGACGGATAGTAATGATTTCTCTCCACGTCGTCTCCTAACGGTGTGGAGACTAGCAATGTTTGCGTCATAGGTGTCAATGGCACGTCAAGGCCCTCGGCGAACGCCTCACTCACAAATGAGCGTTGTGCCCCGGTATCGATGAGGATCCTCGCACACCTACCATTGATCTTTAATGTTCCTACATTTATACACCATGTAAGATACATTTTCAAATGTTTTTACACATTTTTAGGAGGTTATTAGGCTCATACTAATGTTTGGAATCAAACGGGGGTCCAAACGTAGAAGAACGGGGCGAAAAAAATCAAGTTTCGGGTGTTGGGGGGTCCACGCACGGCGTGCCTGGGTGGCACGCACGGTCGTGCGTGCTTGAAAATCAGAGATCCGCCACTGCCGGCTACGCACGATCGTGCGTAGCTGGTCACGCACGATCGTGCGTCCCAGGCACGGCGTGCCTGACCTGCACGCACGGCGTGCGTCTGCGCGGAAAACGGCCAGAGGCTACTGCCTCGCACGCACGGTCGTGCGTCTGTAGGTACGCGCGATCGCGCGTAGTTGTTTTTAGCCCGTTTCGCCCCGAATTCGCGGGGTTTGACCCCGGGGTGGCCCGCACCCGAACCCAATGACTCATATGACCCAAATAAGCCTAGAAATATAGGAAGATAAGTGTATTACCTGCAACGGAGTCCGGGTTTGCTCGCGCATCCGCCTCGGTCATTGCGTACACTCGTGCTTGGGTCCCGCCTTGATTTACGGACGCGGCATGACTTGTGGATGCGTTGCCTCTTCCCGTACCGCCGTTTGACGGTCCCGCACGGTTTCTTCCCGTCATGGTTCCTCCTCCGGATCCCGAAGCTCCTCCACCCCCTAATTGTGGGCAATTGGCCTTCATGTGGCCCGTGTTCCCGCATTGATAACACCTTGGGGGTGCATTGCACTTCCCAAAGTGATTTTTCGAACAATTAGCACACCTAGGGGGTCCCGTCTTTTGGGAGGAGGATGCATGCCACCGAGCATCCTTGTTCTTCTTTGCCGGTGGTGCCGGTGTTTTGAACGAACCGCCACCTCCACCGTGCTTATCCTTCCGTGCTTGCTCGGGCGGCCCCGAACTTTGCCATTTCCTCTTTTTCGCCTCCTCGGCGTCTCTCTCTTTTCTCTCGTTCCATTGGGCCTCCCCGAGAAGGCCCTGCTCCACCACCTCGCTGAAGGTCATGTGGCGCGAGTACGTAGCTCGGTCACGGATGTCCAAGAGTAGGGCATCCCAAAAGTGCTCCGTCATGCGGTTCTCATCAACCGCGTACTCCGGCAAGAACCTAGCCAAGGTTCTAAACTCTTGTTCCAGTTGCTTAACTGTGCCGCCCTCTTTCTGTTTGAGGTTAGTGTACTCTCTCCGTTTCACATTCACCTCGTACTCGGAGTAGTATTGAGCATAGAACTCTAGCTCAAAGTCCGCCCATGTTATTTCCCCATGGTACTTCCCTTCCACGCTCTCCCACCACGTAGAAGCTATCCCTTCAAGGAGCCGTGAAGCGACAGTCAACTTCACGTCCGGTGTGATTTGCATGTCCCTTGATGCATCCTTCACCTTCTTGATCCAATCGGCGGCAACGGTAATGTCACCGGTGCCGTCAAAGGACCTACACCCCAAGGCCCTAGCCTCCTTGAGGTACTTGGAGATTCTCACGACAAAACCTCCTTCACGCCCACCTTGTGACGCCGCTGGGGTGGCCACGGAAGCTCCCCGGCTTCCTTGACCCGAACCACCGCGAGAGCCACGCCTCGCTTGGCGCCTAAGGTCCCTCCTCAATTTTTCTTTTTGATACCATTCAAGCAATTCGCCCATTTGGGCGAACTTGGCATCACTCTCTTCATCATCATCATCGGTGTACGTGTCACCCCCATCATACGGGGTCTCTTCATGCTCCGTCTCTGGCACGTAGGTTGAGTCGTAGTCTTCGGTGTTGGTCTCATACACCGAGCTCACATGGCCATCACTCACAGTTTGAGCTTGATGACCTCCACGGCTTCCACGGCCTCCCCGGCCTCCTCTCGAACCCCGAGATGCAGCCCGGCTTCCCCTTTGGGATGCTACCGGCGCCTGCCCCCTCGGATTGTTCCTGGTCCTCATTCGCCTGCCCTCAATTTCTGAAAGGAATATGGATGAGTCATTAGACTCCTATAAATGTCAATTGACGGAAGAACGTTATAGACACGTATTGGCCCAAGTCACTACCATACCAATTGTTAAGGGTACCGTCTTAACAATTAGAGGCCTTGCAACTTAAGCACCAATAGTCCTATAAACGTCAAAATACAATGCTCATGGTTTTCGGTAAAAACTCTTTTGCAAATTCTTTTGTGAGAGGTTGATTATATAGTTTAGAACTGAGATGGCTCTGATACCACTTAATTGTCACGCCCCAGACCGCAATCCAAGCGCGTGTACAACCGCCGTATAACTAAGTGACGTCACCCACGGGTCGACCTCACTTAATTACACAAGGCGTTCGAGAAAACAATCCATCCATACTCAGTAGTAAACATACATAACAACATCACATTAAACCAATGAATAGCGGAAATATTCAACGGTAAGTCATGGGCCACAACCGGCCGACAACATGGGCATGCAAGCCCCAAAAATAGTTTGTAGTAAAACAAATATCCATGAGCAAGTGTTCGGTAGTTTGAAAGAAAATAAGGAAGCACGAACCACGTCTCCCTGATTTGATATCACCCGTGAGAAGGTGCAAGTAGCAAGCTCTAGCTTCAACCTGAAAATGGTGGGGCCCCCCGAAGGGGTCAGTACAAGTACCGAGCGAGTAGCAGGCTAAATATAGAATAACTAGCGTTTCAAGTATAAGACCCAAACATAGGGTGATACTTAAATAAATAATCTTTCCCCCAAGTTATGAAATACTTATTAGTATATATATACTTGGAAAATATCCGATCCGTAGATCACCATTTTATTCGGGAAAATAGTAATAGTCAATATTCTTGACTAAAAACCCCAACCCACCCATATACCTATGAGTGTATAGGACTCCTCCTTGTCCCTACTTGTATATCACAATCTATGAGTTTTAGGATCATAATCCTTGGATACTCCACCGGTTTGTGAGTGTTAAGGACTCATAAGTCCTAGGGTCCTCCACCAAGTTTGAGTGTTAAGTACTTTTAAGTACTAGGGTCCTCCACCAAGTTTGAGTGTTAAGGACTTTTAAGTCCTAGGGTCCTCCACCAAGTTTTGAGTGTTAAGTACTTTTAAGTACTAGGGTCCTCCACCAAGTTTTGAGTGTTAAGTACTTTTAAGTACTAGGGTCCTCCACCAAGTTTGAGTGTTAAGGACTTTAAGTCCTAGGGTCCTCCACCAAGTTTTGAGTGTTAAGTACTTTTTAAGTACTAGGGTCCTCCACCAAGTTTGAGTGTTAAGTACTTTTTAAGTACTAGGGTCCTCCACCAAGTTTTCCTATGATCAACCTCCTATCAACCTAGATAGAGTCTATATCATCCTTAGTTACTCATAACTAATCCAATACATAAATCTTATGTATCACAATCCATGCAAAGCCATGCATTTAAATAAATGTATAATTAACTAACATCAACCGATATTAATTAATCCATCATCCATCGGTCAACGTTGTCGTTGACCGCCAATTCAAGCCTTGTTCACATCAACTTAATCATCATATAATTAAGTCAATGATACTCATTTGAGCTTCTTTTACACTTCAAGCTAATGTGCATTTTATATAATCTCTCATATCATATTTCATGCATAATCAATTAATTCTTTTCATACAACTTGATAATGTTGGCTAATCACATGTTTAATTATCTTTTAAACATCATTATGAAAACATATAACATTTATTTAGGTAATCTCATAATTAACCCAAAAGTTATAAGATATTAAGCCGTCCACTCACCTTGAACTAGCGTTATGAAGTTCTACCCCTCTTGGTTGAACTCCGGTGAAACTCCGGCGACTTTCGGTCAACTCCGGCGACAACTCCGGCGACTTTTCCAACTTTGTGAAATCACTTGAAATACCTTTCACAAGTTCCTAACAAGGTTTTATAATCATAAAACCCATATTAATACAAATAACCTCAAAAAGGTTATTTTCCGGTGAACCGGTCGTTTTGGCTTCTAAGACCGTTCTTGGACATGGAATCACTTCCCAACCCATAAATCCATACTTATAACATGTAGAACCCTCTTAAGGATTCTTCACATGATATATATCTCATATGGTAGGAGAAAAATGAAGGAAAAGTTATAATGAGGTCATTACCTTAATTTACACACTTTTCCTAGCCTTTTTCCTTCTTTAATCCCACTCTTTGGACCTCTCTTGCTTGAGCTCGAGTTGCAGCAATGGAGAAAGGTTGGAGAGCTTCTTCTTCCTCCTCCTTTGGTAGCTAGGCCGAAATAATGCATAGGGGAGAGGTTGGGGTGTCCTTTTTGTCTCCTTTGGCAAATGAGTGAGGTCAAAGGGCCCCCTTGCACCTTCCTCCACTCAATCCTTTGTCAACCTAGGCCCTTCCTTGTTGTTACAGCACAAAAAAACGTGGGGTGGCCCCCACTCATGTGGGAGGTCATCCCTTTGTGTCCCGGTGTGTACAATCGGTCCCGAAAGTTGTATTTTTCGGACTGTTTTAATCATAATTTATTTTATCGGGTAAAATAAAATATATTATGTGTTCCCCATCATAACTCCCCTTTGAAATAATATATATTCCAAAACTTTAATTTGGAAGTCTCCGAAATTCATTTTCGGGCTGTTATCTGTTTAATTGTCGGTACCGGTAATTGGGCTTCTTTTGACCAATCGGTCAACCCCAGGCCTTCCCATGGCCAAATAAGATGTCCACCACCATATAAATATTATTTCGACCCATAATGATAATTTATGTGATCTCGGGGATATCGGGCGGCCCCCGCTCCCGGTGTGGGTCCCACGTGCAGTTTACTATTCACGCGAAAGAAATAATAAAAATTTACAACTTCGTAAATTCATCAATCCTTTAATAAGGTTCAATACATTATTTACATAAAAGTAAATATATTTGGGGACGGTGTTACATTATTCATATCAAAAGATTCAGGATCATTACATCAAGCAAAGGGAAAATAAAACAGACACCAACTGAAACTCCAACAACTACAATTGTAACCCTATAGTGAGACTTTGAGACGATCACCCCTGAGGGAGCAACACGAATCGCTAACCATGTAGTGGGCTTGACACAACCAAACATATTCCCATAGATCCAACCATACCCAATGACATGAAGAGAGGCAAAAAAACTCAAACAAACTGTCAAACCCAACAACAAAAATGGACGCAAGAAAACAAATAACAAACAGATAAAAACTACAAGAAAAATGTTCACGAACTCTAGCACCTCGTGCATCCCATGGTGGTGTTTCAGGAGGAGGTCGTACCACTGGTACCATGTTAATTGATCCTCCATGACCTTTGGCTGCCAAAGACCATGCATCAATCCTCCGTCCCTGCATAACCAAACTCATCCCTGCTCCGTGCGACCACAGTAAACAGATAGGCGGCGCCGATCTTCTCCAACGACGACAGCAACGCCGCATCCTCGAACCTTGACCACAGCGCCGATCTCCTCGAGCCATGACAGCAAATCTGCCCTCCTCCACCGATCTCCGCCCTCCGCGTCTGACCTGGACTCCAGTGGAGCACCAACGACCTAGGATAACAAAGTCGATCTTCGACAAAGTCAAAATCAGAAAAAGGCTCCAGCGGCCGACATAGTCAAAGCCCTAGAGAGAAAAACTCGTGATCGCTCTACCTTAGCCAAAAGCAGACCACTGCTCCGCGGCCAGATATGCGAACAAGAACAGCCGAACTTCGATCAATATGATCGAATTCGGAAAAAAAGCCTAGAGGCGGCTGACCTAGGAGAAACGATTAACTAAGTTGAATGTCCTTCATCCATGGGTTGCTGTTTAAATTTTTTCTCTATATTTTACTCTTATATACGAGACAATTACTGGAAATCCTAAGAACGTGGAATAATTATTATGAAATGATAAGCATGTGTTGGCCACAATTGAGAATAAAGGCAAAATAAATTGAAATTGAGAGGCTGTTTGGTAACACTGTTTTTCGGTTTATCGGACTTATCGGCCAACTTTTTCACCAAACACGTAACTTTTGTTTTCGCGGGTTGAATTGTGTAATAATAAGAAAATGTGAGGATGAAGTTACTTTTCTGGCTGTATTGGTTGAATTTACTAAATAAGACTAATGAGTTCCTAAAAACCACAAATAGGATTACTTGTAACACCCCCTACCCGGCCCGGAAGGCTCGGGCAAGGAGCGCTACCCAGAGTGCCGGAGCATCAAAGCGGAGACTAACTTTTCATTATCTTTTTTTACTAGTCCAAAAATACTTTTATTTTAAAAAGAGTTGATGATTGTAACTTTACGAAATAGTAATTTTATAAACGTTCATAATTGCGAAAGCATCCATATTTTATACATAACACTTAAAGAGTTAAGTGTTGCTATTACATTCTACTAACATGCTTACTACACATGAATGATGTAGACTATAAATACATTATCACTAAATGAAAAGTGTGACTCTGTGCTGATTGGCAGGTTGCTCTCAAATGCTTTTCTCCTTGAACTTTGCCTCCTATCGACTACGTACCTACGCGAAGGACAAAAATCCAACGCGCTAAGCAAAACTTGCTTAGTGGTGTTCATTTTTTCACCATACAATATCGATGTCAAATATGACAAAATAACTCAACAATTAAGAATGACATTCACAAATATGGTTCGTTGTTGAAAATACAAATTTATCAAGAACGATTTTACCCTTTGACTTAATTATAAATATAAAAAAAATACATTTCATTTCACGTAGCTTTTCAATTCATTTAATAATAATATACAAAATCAACTCCTTGAAATCTCAATATAGTTATTTATAAGCACAACTAATTCAATTATGATTAGCTTATAAACCAGATTTAATATAAAATCCTTGATAGCTATTAAACCGTATTGAATATGTAATACAGTACAACCCCTTTACAACATTCCTGTATTAAACTTCTAATATCAAGAATCATACGGAGTATCAAATCGATCAAAATAAAACATTTCAAAACGTATAATACCATTTCGTTCATACAGAATAATAGGTGGTAACTACTTCATTATATTGCATTTTATTCAAAGTAGTTATTGTAATGTATTTGAGTTGTTAATATGTTGTAATTTTCTATATAGCATATAAATCAATATTCAAAGTATCGTATACTTTTCTTATCAGGATAATAATTTATCCCCTTGTCTCTCGTATTAGTCAACATTAGCCTATTTCAGTATATTAATTCACGAGCAAAATCTAATCTATCAATTGAATATAAGTGTTACATTCTCCTATCGTTTTTCTTATCTTTATATTCAAATTCTTTCATTTTCATAATTCTATTTTCGCATTTTCCCTTTCATTCTTTTTGCCTCCATTTTCACAGTTACATCTCATAGTCCAAAATCACATGAGCAGTATCAAAGCTCGCTATAATTCAATATTGCATTCGGCATTCGCTTGTCTCACTTAAATTTTCAATTGTTCAATTCTCATCTTTTGCCCAGTTTCATTCTCCGTCATATTGTATGTGTTCACACTTTTATCTTTTTATCACATTTCTTGAATTCTACTCCTTAATTTAATGGACTGGATAAACGGGGTGTTCTCATCTTTGGTATTGTCCACTTGGTGGCTACGGACCATTAGAGAACTATTTTGGCACTGACCACTCGGTGGCTCTGGCCGGGGTTCGTTTGGGTACTGCCCACTCGGTGGCTACGGATCCGTAAACGAACATTTTGGGTGTTGTCCACTCGGTGGCTATGGACTCGTATAGAAGCGCGCGTGTGTCAAATATCAAGATTTAGGTGATGTCCACTCGGTGGCTACGGACCCGAAATCATTGATCAAATTCTACGGCCGTGTTTTTATCCCTATTGGCATGCCAACCTATCCGAATCCAGAAACAAGATTTCGAATTCCATTTATTTTTATTTGCTTGAAATAAGCATGTATGAATGATTACTATTCTGGTTATCAGCTTCCATAAAAAAATGACATCATCGTTATAACCAACCAAAAATTACTTATATCTAATAGATATAAGTAATACGAAGTATATTTGAGTTTAATAGGTTTCACATAAATTTCTAACATGTTACAATAAATATTCCAGTTCATGTTATTTTAAACAATAAATTAAACTCCACCTTTTTATATACTCCTACTACGGATAAGTCGTAAGTTGAGATTTACATAATTATACGCAGCATTTAATAATATTCAAATCTAGTTACGTTTGATCATTGATACTCATATGCATATAATTCAATTTAACATACATACTAGTATACTACGTATGTGATAGAATTAATTTCATCTCATATTCTTAATAGAAATTCGAATTCATAGTTCATACATTCATTACTTGTCTTGTTAAATGTTAATACACATGGTCTATTTTTATTCCAGATCGAAGGCTCAATCCCTTCACTACCTCTCTATTACTTCTACCTTATTTATACATTGTTGTTTTAATAGTACGTAGGCATTAATGGGTTATTCATGATCTTAATTATACTACGCATGAGAACAGGTATTGTGCATTTCTGCGTGTGTATTTATTTATACTTGCCTAGGCTATTTTGTTCTCTTTTGCATGCATGCATGTAGTGTGCCGAGTGGCATAGAAATTTTGTTCTTACATGCATGTTATTATACACAGGGGCGGAACTAGCCAGGGGCTCGGAGGTGCTTGAGCCCCTGCAGTTGTTTTTATTTTTATTATATATATATATCAAATATAAAATTGTAAATTGTAAATATTTATAAAATATGTGTCTTATACATTAATAAGCACTATGTTAACGAAAGGATATTGCAGCGGAGTGGAGGAGGTGTTGCATTCATGTTCTTGGATTATGAAAGGTCTAGGGATTGAATCCTAGCTTAATTTTTTTTAATATTTTTGTTTGCTTGTGTCTTTTTTAAGCTCTAAATTAATTTAAAATGGCTTTAAATAGCTGTATTCAAATTTTGGTGATGTACCATTAAGCTCTCTAGTGCACGGGTAGGAATCACAATTTTGCTATGGTAGCTTTCTCATCAAATCGACTCATCATATTTAATTTCTTGCTTTTTGGTTTCATAGAATTAAAAGTGTGATTTCTCAATTTACTTTTCAAGATATTATATTCTAGAATAAAATATATATGTAGTACTTATATTCTAGATGGTGGATGCAAATATCTTTCGAAGACCTTTGCGTACCCACTAAGTGCCCCCTCCAGGGTTCCCGAGCTGGTTCTGCCACTGATTATACATTTGGAGTGCATATAAAATGGCTAGTTGTTGCTTTCTGCATTGAGTTTTTTTTTTTACTCCAGGGGGGTCTGGGGGAGGGGGCTGGGGGGAGCCTGGAGTAATCAGGGCTGAAACTCACTTCATTGAGTTTCAAACCCTTGTGGGCCAAATTTTCTAACGCTCAGGTTTAATAAAATATTCATGAGTTTCAGTTAATGATATACTACCACTACCGGTTATAACAGATCTCATTATATCATTAGCTTAAAGTTCCACACAATCCAGAAATTACACAATAAACTGAGGGAATATTGTATTATTGTTTTATATTCCCACTCTGCATCAAGTAATGTAAGAAATTAGAACACAGTTAGTTGCTTTCAGTTGTTACACATCATAGAATCTCTGAATGCAGCTTTCTAATTCCTGTGCTTTCCTCCATATGTTGGGAGCAAGGTTGCATATTTGTGAATGAGCATTCTTCACTGGCTCCCCCCTCACCATGACATGGAGATCGTTCTTTGTCTGTATAAGGATTCATAATATGTTGCAGTAATTCAATTTTGCAAATAAATATGGAGACAGAAGTAATTTTGTAGTACCTACATGTTCAGATTACATTTACCTGAGATTTTATTTTTCATCAATTGCAAGCCTGGATGTATCTTCTGGGAGGGAATAGTTTCGTTCCTCGCCTAAGGTGAGGTTCACATTTGGGAATTGGTGACACTGTTTCGAAAGCTTCAACTAGGAATGCCACCTTCTTTCTGCGTGCAGGAGCAAGCTTGCTCACTGCTTGTTGGAGTGCATAATCAATCATCCATTCCTCTGCATTCTTTCTTTCCTCGATCATTTGATGCTTGAGATCAACTCTTTCTGCTTCTGGATCAGGCTTCAATGGAAGAAAATTTGGTCCCCGTGGATTAAAATCTCTCATTTCTTCCTCCTCTTGAATCAGCCTGTTGTGGTGTCTAGATGTTTTTCTCAAGCTGGGAAGAACTTCAATATCTGCATTTTGGTTTTCAGTTACTTTTGCTATCTTCTGTGTTTCTACATTAGAAGACAGTTCCTTCTCCACACTGTAAGTCTCTTGATCACAACCTTTCTCTTGAGGCTTCAGGCTTCCATCTTCACTGGTTTCAATCAGTCCCCCTTGAGAGGCTTCTTCTGATTCACTACCCGGTTTTTCTAAGTATATGTCGCCATTGTTTTTATTTACAGAATGTGTTGGATTTTTTTCACCAAATACCCCATCCATAGTAGCAATATCACCACACATATTAGGCATAGTATTATTTTCATCCAAATCAGTAGATTCTTGATGATATTCTTGAACTGGAATCTCATCATCTTCTTGGAGAATAATGCTTTTCTCATGAAAAACTGAATGGATTTCCTCCTCTTCTGTTAGCTTATCAGAAATATGGTGGTGTTTTTGAGTGGTTTCATTCTCATCATCATCATCATTACCACTGTGAGTGTCTGGTTGATGATCACAGATATTGAAAACAGGCCCTGGACAAGAAATGGGGGAATCTGTTTCTTCATCACTTAAACATGCTCCAGATTTTATGCTTCCTGTATCATCAAATGATTCTTGCACCATGTTTTCTGCAACAATTTCATCAGAGCTGGACTCATCCAGGACAACTTCGCTGGATTTCATATCCGAACAGTGTTCCTCACAATCAGGTTCTTCATTATGATTTAATGAACCTACAATGCCCTCCCAGTCCATATCTGATTCTTCTGCACCTGAATAATCTCTTACAGGGAACGGATCTTTGTTCTCCTGTACCTCTTCATGAAGTGAACTTGTGGGGGCATGATTCTGTTCCGTTTCTTCCCTTTCTTTGCAGTATATTTCAATGGTAAAGTCCAAGCTCTCTTCAGTCTCTTGTTTCTGATCTGGACCATCTCCGTCAAGGCTCAATCCGGTAGGCCTTGCTGGACTGGGAGATAGACACCCTATTTTCAAGCTCCTCTGTGTTTTCAATGACCGTCTCCTTGCAGACAAGAAGCTCTTCAATGGGGGAAATTGAAGGTGATGATGGCCGTTAAGAGAGCAGTAAGTATAAGGGCAGACCTTCATGGCAGAAGTAATACCACCAGGATTAAGTTCCAGGTAACACGGAAATTTTGAGTCCTTCAAAGTTGAAGAGCAAGTAGCTCTCTGGGAACATTTCTTGGAAGAACAAACTCTTGCAGGCTTAAAACTAGGAGATTTTTTTACATGTTTCAAACTTGTACTACTACTACTACTAGCTGAAGTAGTTATTGAAAGGGTCTTGGAATTAGAAGAAGAAACAGATTGGGAGGTTCTGGAACTTACAACAGACTTTTCTTTTCTTGCATCTGAACTGCTGGTAGATTTCATATAATTTGGGGTCGAGTTTGATGGAGAAGAAGCCTTATTTGGACTGTTTGGCGGTTTTCTTGGGCGGGCCCGGCTGTTTTCAAACTCAGGATGCTTTATTTTGCCAGATTTCTTCTTCATCATCTTCTTCTTCAGGTCTGTTCCTCTGCTGTTCTTCCCATCTTGGTGTTTCTGCAAATAAGATGCTTCTAGGTTGGGAACCTTTACTATGTGATGATCAGCTTGGAAACCAAGCTGACCAAGAACCTTTCTTTGCACCATATTTGATTCTTGAAAGGAAAATGATTCTTCAAGCCACAGACATAGCCGATCAGGAAGTTATTCTTGTTATTGAGGAAAGATAGACTTTTAGTTAAAGGAAAGAAAGGGGTTTTCTCTGAATCTAAAAGACATTAAATTCCAAGATTGGACAGTGGGTGATATGGTTGTTTACAAGCGTCTGGTTTGAATATTTGTTTTTTGAAAAAAAGAAGGTTTGAGAGCTTAGTTTCAGGTGGTGCCCGAACAAACGCCCTTAGCTAAAAGAGGTAAGGCAGTGGCGGGGCCATGTGTTTGATGGATTTTGAATTATTTGCAACACCAGGGGACAATGTAAAGTGTACCTCACTTATGACACTGTCCTCACTCCCAATTTATTAGGAGGATACGTAGTACTAAAAATTGGTGATTGTTAGTATTTGCAGTATATTTTTTTTAAAAAAAAACCTTCATTTTAACTGAATTTTTTAGATTTTATTTGGTTTACATTGTTTAAGTGTGGTCTGATCAAGAAAAATTTATTGAAGGATTATCTTATTTGATTTGATTTGAATTGGTTCTATGTGGTAAAGTCTCATACTGTGTGAATTACATACATTATCATTCAAGTGTGTTCTTGTTTAGTCACCTCCTTTTAAGTCTAGATAGCCTAGATCTAGTCTAGTATGAGAGAACAATTCCTAAAGTTGTGTGATATTTGGTTTGAAATAAATAAATATCACCTTCATTTACGAAGTATAAGTAGACAAATTGAGCATTTGAGCAAATTCCCTAATTATTCCCTAGTGCCTTGTAAGTGGCGTTATTATTCAGTGTTGCTCTATTTCATCTCATGACACAAGAGTTAAGCAAGATTTATCATGAACGTTAATGGTGTGATGGGTCTCATATGCTCCGTATTATTGTTATTAAAATACAGGGAGTATTAGTCACCAGCAATTCCAACTTGTTGCATAAGCAATGATATAAAAGAGAAAATTTTATGGGTTAACATAATTTGGTGGGGGGGGGGGGGGCGTGCAATCTCAATCGTAATTGAGAAGTTAATTTCTTATGGCAAGTTTTCACTTGCACTTGAAATTGAAGTTTTTCTACATAATGGAAGGGTTTAGTACACATATATAAGGAGTCCCTATATCGTATACCCGGGTGTACGTACATCCAGCCCAATTATTAAATTTGACTGGTGGGCTCCCAGCGAATCGCGGTCACAAGGAACTGAATTCCTTCACTAAAAAAATTAAAAACCCCAACGGGATTCGATCCCGTGACATGAAGTAGGATAAGCAACCTTCCAACCATCTCACTGACTTGTCTTGTTGAGATAATTAGTTCATTTATTTTACTTATCCTATATAGTTTCATACTGCGTATTATTAATAGTAATTATAATATTAACTATTCTTTTGCTTTTGCTCATTATTACTATATTAAAAGACTAATTCATATTTTTGAAGTATTTATTTGATCTATGAATCATACTATTACTTTATATAAATATGTTTATAATTTTTTTATATGGTGTTAGTGAGATGAAAATCACGACTTCTGGAGATTGAGTAATAATGAACTTTTAATGAGCACCAGACCTATTCTGTTGAGCATACTGAATATACAAATTGATATTTAAGCATACTCGAGATTTTAAATGAGCTTTTAAATTTTTTCTGTGCTCATTTCGTAAATTAGATATGCTCATTTGATATTGGTGTAATGCTCATTTTAAAATGAGCATTACACGAGACAACTTACATGTCATATCCATGCATATTGGCGTAATGCTCATTTTGAACTTTTTGATATTCATTTCACATTTTATATATTCACATTTAATATTTGAGCATCAAACATCCGCTATTGAGATGAAATTCACGGTTTCTAGTGAATGAGCAATAATAAACGTTTAATGAGCATCATACCCATTCTGTTGAGTATTAGGAGTCTAATATTGAGAATTTTGATCTCCGCTTCATAACTTCTAATTCACTTTCTTTTTGTTATTTTTTCTTTTATAAAATTTTATTAAATTATATTTATAATCAACTCCTGTGAATTTCAATATGTGAATTAATGTAAAATAGTACTTTAAAAATATGCATCGATATGAGATTTAGAAAATGAGCATAAAATCTCTACTAGATGAAATACATAACTTACAAAATGAGTATTAATGAATTTGTTAGCTGCTTTGTTATTTGAACATCACGACATTTTCATTGAATATCAAACATCCTCTATTGAGATTGATGATAATCATGATTTCTGTAAAATGAGCATTAATGACTTTTTAATGAGGATTCGACCTATACAAATGAGCATGCGTAACTTACAAGACGAGCATCGATATGAACATTGTAAATTTTTCGTTGAACATTTTACACTCGCATTGATATGCCATTTTACATATGAGCATAAAATTATTACCAAATGAACATGTGTAGCTACACAATGCGCATTGACAAAAAATTGTGTTAATTGGACATCACTATATTTTCATTGAGCATCAAACCTCCTATATTGAGATGAAAATAATGATTTGTATTAAATGAGCATTAATGAATTTTTAATGAGCATCAGACCTATACAAATGAGCATATGTAATTTACAAGATGAGCATTGATATGGAAAATATAATTTTTATTCGTTGAGCATCAAGACATTTTCAATGAGCATCAAATCTCCGTTATTGAGTATTAGAATCTGCGATTGAGTATCATAATTTGTGGTCTCTTGTCTATAATCAACTCTTATATAAATCTAATAATGTAATATGAGACTTTTGAAATGAGCATTGCTAAAACATTTTAAAAATGAGCACAACAGATATACTAAATGAGTATACATAATTTACAAAATGAGTATTCAAAAATTCAAAAGCTCATTTATGTATGTTCATTTTTTAGACATTTTACTCATTTGAGTTTAAGGTAAAACTCATTTCTAATTTGCTTAGTATAATGTATAAAAAAGAAGAACTAAACAACAAAAGAAACAAAAAGAAGCAAAAAAGTAAAAGGCAAAACAAAAGAAAAGTAAAATAGCTAACAGTAAAAGTACAGAAAAACAAACAAAAAAACAACCCTAAAACGTAACAATCAAAATGGATGGCGGCAGAAAATAGAAACGAAAGGAAAGAGGATGGCGGAAGAAAAGAAAGGAAAGAGGATGGCGGAAGAAAAGAAAGGAAAGAGAACACCGGAAGAAAAGAAAGAAAAGAGAACAACTGATGAAAAGAAAGAAAAGACGGAATATGGCTGCCACGTCATTTAAAAACCGGGTGTACATATACACCCGGATGTATAGTATAATCTGCGATATATAAGAGCATCTCCAGCGGTTAGCTAATTGATATAATAGTTTGACTAGCCACATAAGCATTTGTAGCAAAATTGAAATATACTTTAATGGTTAGCTATAACTTTTTTCTCTTCATTTATTAGTTATAATAAGACATTTAATAATTTTCCTTGCTCAAGTTAGTAGCTCATTTAGGCTAATTAGTTTTCTCAAGCAAAAGGAAGAGTTATGCTCCAATGGTAAGCTAGTAGCTTCAAAATTGCAAGCAAGTTCCTAGAAGCAACCATTGGAGATGCTCTAAAGGCTCTTCATTTTAAATTTTTCTTTCCATTTTTTGTGAGCTGCCTTAAAAGTTTGTTTTTGTTTCCGAAGGGAAAAATAATGTGTTTGATGTTATACAACCCTTCCTAGTTAACCATAACTATGCATATTAAGGATGTTTTCTTTTGGACTGTTTTCAATCCCAGACCAGATCAGATCAGACCAGACCAGACTTAAACAGATCAGACCAGATTTGGATAGTTATAAAATACACAGAGACCAGACGTTTACTAGACCAGACCAGTTCAGACCAGACTAGACCAAACTTAAACAGACCAGACCTGACTAGACCAGACTTAAACAGACCTGACCAGATCAGATCAGACCAACAAATTTCAGTCCAAAAGAAAACATCCTAATCTTTTTAACAAACATATCAAGTCAAAGCTATAAAAATCTTAGGGAGAGTATATCTGGAGTCATGGAGATGTTATATTGGGTATAAGAGAGTTATACATAGCAAGATGAAAGAAGAATATAAAATGCCAAATATTACTCCTAGTCTCCTATCAATTTCCGTGTAAAATACAATAATAAAAGCATTATACTCACCATAAAAAGTACGTAGTATTATACCCCGTATCAAATTAAATTGATAAGTTTTCATACCCAAGTAACCCTTGCTGTTAATGAAGCTAAGCAGCTCTCTAAGTAAATGTAACGCTAAGTATTTTATGGTTTGATGTCATCATTGTTGATCTCTCAAAGAGAAGATCACATATTCGAGTTTTATTCTAATCAAGGATGTTGACATTATTATAAGTAGATATTATAATAGGTTTAGATGATATTCCAAAAAGTAAATGTAATATCTCAATTAGTGCTACCATTTACTCCGTATTATGTTCCAAATCTTCCGATTATAACACTCATTTTGTTATACTTGAGATGCTTTTAACTATTTTTAATCCTAGATAAGACCAAACTTCAATAGCTATATAATACACAAGGACCATAAATTTACGAGACTAGTTCAGACAAAACCAGGCTTAAATAAACTAGATCAAATTATATCAAACTAGATTAGAAAATTTCACTCAAATTAAAAACATGTACTTCCCCACCATAAACCTAGTTTTCTTATTGTTGTAAAAGAGGACTGCTCAGGTCCAGCCGGAGGGACGGAAGCCACCGTCCGAACTCCTCCGTTTGGGGCGGTTCCCGGTAGAATTTTTTGATGAAATTTTTTGAGCATGTTCTTAATCAAGTCTAGTTTGTCCGTACCAAATTTCAGCTCAAAATTCGATCGGGAAGGCATTCAAATCATTTTTTGAAGTTGACTGCGCCAAAATATACATATAAAAACGCAGTCAACTTCAAAAAATGATTTGAATGCCTTCCCGATCGAATTTTGAGTTGAAATTTGGTATGAATAAACTAGACTTGATTAAAAACATGCTAAAAAAAATTCATCAAAAAGTTCCACCGGAAACCGCCCCAAAAGACGGAATTCGGACGACGACTGGACAGGAAAGGGAGGGACCTGAGCATTTTTCTGTGTAAAAGAGAAGCTATGTACAAGGGCAAGGATGAGCACTTGAGCAGGTGACAATGTTGGACCATAAGAAAACTTGGGCTGATAACCAATTAGCGGTCGGCACGCTTTGCAAAAAGGAAAGATGGGATATTAGGAG